CCCCTGTGACAAACTGCCCAGGGCTCTCTCTCTCTCTCTCTCTCTCTCTCTCTCTTCTTTGAATGCAGCAAATTACAAATGAATCTTCCGCCTGAAAGGGGTAAGATTCATTCTCTCTCTCTCTCTCTCTCTCTCTCTCTCTCTCTCTCTCTCTCTCTTCCTCCTCGCTTGCAAAACGGCTTTCTTGGTTTTTCAATTTCTTGTTTTTTTTGGGCAGAAGAATTGTCGGTTTTTTTTTTTCTTTCGTTTTTTCCTTCTTCTTATTTTGGGTACTTACCCGTAGCTCGAGGCTCGGCAAGGTTCGGGTTACCGGTAGGCTGAGCCACAGGCCTTAACAACCGCTAGGTACTGGTGGTTTAATTGTTGAGCTTGCTCACTGCTCATCTGGATGGAATAGGGGCTGTTGTGATGCAATTTTTAAAACACACACACACACACACACACACACACACACACACACACACACACACACACACACAGACAGCCCAAATCAACAAAAAAAAGGGGAAGAAGGGATATTCCAAGAAGAGAAAAAAACTGATGATTGACATTCGGAACCTCCAACCACCTCCAACATGGGCAACCCCTTGCCTCACCCTCGTTTTGGATATGTGCCACGGCACGACATCCCTGGACAAGACCCTCCCTGCATCATTCGTGCATAGTTGGCACCAGTGACCAGTGGGAACGGACCGATGTATAGTACGGAATGCTATTAACAGTGGCTACCATATGCTGCTATATTACTTGGTCTTGCTCGGGAGCCACTCAGTCAGTGATAGTGCCGCCGTAAGCGTGGGTCAACGTATTCTCAAGCATTTAGTGAATGCTTATCAGCACGTAGCAGAGCGGAGGGATATGCATGCACACCTCTCTCCTTTTGAAATGCCGCATCCTATCTATCCTGTCTGTCCTCATGCTACCGTCCCCAACTGGTTCCCAAGGCCCTCATCACTGCCATTCTTATGAAACACAAGGACAATATTTGCTGCAGAAATACGACAATAACCATCAGTGTCCTTTCTTACGAAACGAAAGGACAATATTTTCGACAATGCTACGCTACTATGACCTTGCATACTATCAGCAAAGTTAAGCTAAGAGCAATGGACCCACATGCGAAATATTAGGGAATGGAGAACAGGGGGGGGGAGGGGGGGGGAAGCAGAGAAAAGCAAGTTGTTGAGACAAAAACCTGAAGTAACCTCTCTCTGCATAAAATGGATTCGCACAATTTCGCAGTACTGATCTCCCAACACCACTACGTGGAAGCTGCAGCGAAGTCCGTTGCCAAGTTGCAGTTGCATTTGCAAGATGTAATCCTCCTGCATTTTTCTTCTTGTCCTTTTTTCCTTTGCCCCCGACATTGCTGCTCTGGTTGCGTCTAGATCTGAACTCGGGACTGTATTCCAACAAATCATGGGAGTTACAAACGGAGCTAGGCCCGTGGGTAATCCTACTAATCCTCCTTAATTTCTATTCATATTATTTCCACTCTGGCAGCTTCACAGCCTTCCATAGGTTGTGAATGCTGCATTAAACTCCCCTTCATTGCTTCCCCTTGATTGCCTACCTCTTTTCCCCCTTCTTCCCTATTCCCCCCCTCCTCTCCTTGCCTCTTGCCTCCTTCCCTCCTTCCCTCCTTCCCTCCTTCCCTCTTGCCTCCCTCGTTCCCTCCCTTCTTCCCTATCCCCTCCTCTCCTTGCCTCTTGCCTCCTCCCCTCCCTCCCTTTGCTGTCAGATCGAGAAACCGCTTAGGTGTGTTTGCATGCATGCAATTTCCAGGGCTCTTAATAGTGGGGCCCAGTATGCCCACGCTAAACACGTTGACGGCTTAAAAAAAGACATGAAGAATAGGGTATGCGTAACGCTGCGCGGGCACTGCCCATGCTCACCATCCCCACCTCCCTACAGCTTCATTGACCTAGGAATCAGGGCAGTGGTGACCATACAAGCAGACAGAGGTTTTATGCCAAACTTTCATATGCGCAAGCAATATTGTACAATCATGGGGTATAACATGTAACTGCCCCATGCAACCCATGCAACCCCGTTTTATGCAAAAGGCAGCTGCTACTCACGTACATACAAGTGGCAGGCGTTTCAGAATTCCTTCTCACCTTTTCATGGCCTTTACACGGTATCAGGCGCTTGAAGACGACCAGTGTTTTTCCCTCGAACCACGCCCCATTCTCACCCCTCTACATGAGGAGGAATTCAGGGGGCCATGCAAGCAGATGTCACATGTGCTCATGTTTCCCGTGGAAGGCCCTATCTTCCGTCTCCATCTTGGCTTCGTTTTCTTCTACACGGCGACTTTTACTACTCGTCTTGCCTAGAGGATGCACGCAGCAATTGGTCACCCTCGGCCATCAATCGTTGGGACGTGACTCGCAACCAATAATTCCTCCCGAATCAATCACGTGCCGGGTGCATGAACCCCACGAGCTCAGAACTCCACGTACAATCTGCGCCTGCAACAGAGGCGCGCAGCAATCGGTCACCCTCGGCCATCACTCGTTGAGACGGAACTGGCAGCAATAATTCCTCCCCAATCAATCACATGCAGGGCGCATAAACCGGAGAGCTCAGAACTCCACATAAAATCTGAGCCTGCTGCAAAGGCATCACTAAAAGGAGGTTCAGGAGAAACTGTGGAACGAAAGAAATGCTAGGAAGAAGGAAAGCAAACGACATGGCACTGTAGCGCAAGCAAGAGTGCAAAGTTTACGAACCTGGTCAGAACCCTTCCATTTCTTCGTTGTCCCGCACATCTAGCTCCTCCTCCTCAAGCCCGTCGGCTAAGTTCTGGAGTCTAATGTGGTAATTCTCCCCAGAGGTCGGCCGCAACATTATCAGAGCTGCTGCAAAGAAACCAAGTACCCCCAGCTCTCTCACTAACACGACAGCCCAGTGATGATGGTGACCCACAATGGCTCGCACAAGCCAAGCTAGCATCCATACACCTGCAGCATACAGTGATATCTTGACATACCACTTCTGAACCCATCCACGATTCGCTCTGCTGTCATAGTCTGCTGAAGCGGCAGAGAACTGTGCCACAAGGGATGACGGCGTGGGCCTCTGACGGCTGAGCGATGGGAAAAATTCTGCCGCAATCAGCCCCAACAGGCCAACCACGGACACCCACTTCAAAATGCTGAAGAAGTCATAAACTGTTGCACATTCTGCAGACTGCAGGGAGAACGAATAGACGCTATGATGGGTCACCTCAGCATGGGCCCAAGAGATGATCAAACCAGACAGAAATGCCATCAACAGTTTAAGCTCCAAGTCTGACACATTCAGCTCAACATCTGGCAGCCCAAGGAGTACGAGAGCGAGAAGAGAGACGGCGAATGTGACAGCAAAGAAGTGGTGAACTTTGTCCCAGCCATGTGGCAAGCCGGTTCGCCCGAGCACTGAGTAATACGTTCCGTGAGACCAGATTAGGAGCATGTAAGCGGCCAACGATATGCCAACAAGATGTAGGAGGCGCTTGAGAAGAACGCCTTGGTGCTTCTGCCAGATCAGGTACTGCCAGGCACAACATGCCACAAAGTAGACAGCAAAAAAGACGAAGTAAAGGAGAGCGAGATGCGTACCGCCAGCCCAGAGGTAGTTCCTCTTCCCGCCCTTTTTGCCTTCCAGATTAAAGAGGGCCGCATCCATCGTGAAAGACACCGCATGGTGTCGGCACGCACAGTTTGCGAGGTAAAGGGTATGGTAGCCAGGCTCCTCCACCTCATGGAGCACTGTGAACTTGTCCCCTCCAGACCCTTTGACTGCTTTGCCAGGGTCCCCCATATCCAGGAGCTTCTGAACCTTGGTCTCCGTGAGTATACACAGCCCCGCATCCCCATCAGACTTCATCCGTTTCACAAAGGACTTCAACTGAGATTCTGCTGACCGGCCCGCCAACAGGATGCCGATCTGGGACTTATCTGTGGGCCCGAAACTTTCCGATCTGTACACATCGATATGGGAAAGGTTAACCTGCAAATCCAGAGACATCACATTGCCAAGTCACTTGTTAATGATCTGCACATCCAAAGACACCACTCCACTCTGCCAGTTCATTCGTCAATATGACTGTCAAGGAGATGACCATTTGGCAGAATCTGTGCACTAAGTGCCTCGCTCCACGGGATAACCTTTGGAATTTACCTGGACATGCAGGTTGAATGGATTTACGCTGCAAGCCTACCAGTCCCTGTTACAGAGTTCCCAATTATTGCAGTCCGCAGACCCTACTGGTAGTTAAATCTTAGGGTCTGTAGGTCTAGCTGTCGTAGGTCTGTAGGAACAGTACCTGTAGGATCATGCCAGTCCCCAAAGGTCCAGTTTTTGCAGCAGCCTCACAAGAAAGGTGAGAACCTTTACAAAATAGCAGCTTGGCAGGGCAGAGACAAAAGAAGGCCGGTACCAATCGAAGCAGGCAGGCCCAGCCCACGAAAACAACATATTTGGGCTACAGTACCAGACGGGAGGCAGTTGTTCATTTCGCAAATTTGTGGAGCGCTGTTGGAGCTGTGCGAACTAGCGACCTGGACGAAGAAGTGCGCTGAAGGGAGAAGATGCCCAATGCCCTGGCTGAAGGAGACAGCCATAGCCAGGAGGGGGAGAAGCAGACTTGGCGGCCATCGCCGCCTGATGTTGACGCTGCAGTAGCATTCAGGGTAGATCTAGGACGTAGACGGAGGAGAGAACAGAAAGGGAGAGCAACGAGGGTGAA